AATCACTGGGTAGGCATATGTTTAACTTTATAAGAAAACTGCCAAATCTTTTTCTAAAGTGATGTAGCCTTTTTATATTCTTACCAGTAAAGAATGAAAGTTCCCCTTCTTCATATTCTCAGCAGCATTTGGTGTTGTTAGTCTTTTAAATTTATGCCATTCTGGTGAGAGTTTGGTGTTATCTCATTGTGGTTTTAGTTTCTGCTTCCCTGATGACTAATGATGATGAACACTTATTCATGTTTTTATTGGCCATTTACGTATCTTCCTTTGTTCAAGTTTTTTGCCCATTTAAAAAATTAGGCTGTTTGTCTTTTATTGAGTTATAGAAGTTCTTTATATATCCTGTATATAAGCCTTTTATCAGCTATGTTTTGCAGTTAGTTTCTCCAAGTCTGTGGTTTGCCTGTCCATTTTCTTTTTGGTATCTTTTGATGTGCTGAAGTTCTAATGTCAGTTGAGTCCAATTTATGGAATTTTTTTTTCTTTTTATGGTTATTGTTTTCTATTCTCTGTCTTAGAAATCTTTCCCTACCTCCAAGTTGTGAAGATATTCTCCTATGTATTCTTCTAAAAACCTTATAGTTTTAACTTTTATGTTTAGGGCTGTGATCCATCTTGAATTAATTTTGTTTATGGTGTGAGGTATGGTTCAAGCATCATTTTTTTTACTCCAAATGGATATCCAGTTGTTCCAACACCATTTGTTAAAAAGACTTTCCTTTCTACCATTGGATTGCTTTGTCAAAAGCCAGTTGACTACAAAAGTGTAGATCTGTTTTGGACTCTCTATTCTGTTTCATTGATCTCTTTGGCTATCCTTGTATCAATACCGTATTGTTTTGATTAATGTAGCTTAATAGTAAGTTTTGAAGTCAGGTATTAAAAGTCTTCCAGCTTTGTCTTTTTTTTTTTTTTTTGTCTTTTTTCTTTTTATTCTGTTTTTACCACTGTACAAACAAGGACCAGCTTTGTCTTTTTAAAGCTAATTTTGCATATTCTAGGTCCTTTGTATATCCATATACATTTTAGAATCAGTTTGTCAATTCTCTTAAAAAGTAAAACCTACTGAGATCATGAAAGGGATTGTGTTGAATCTATAGTTCAACTTGGGGGAGAATTCATATCTTAAGAATATTGAGCTTTATAATTTATGGACATGGTATAACCATCTCTCCATTTACTTCAGTTTTCTTGTAGTTTCTCTCAGCTATGTTTTATAATTTCACTTTACAAAGGATTTATGTGTCTTTTGTTAAATTTATTCTAAGTGTTTTATGTTTTATATCATTGTAAAAGGAATTTATAAAAACGTCACTTTCCCATTGTTAGCTATGGGAAGTGTTAATATGTAGAAATGCAATTAATTTTTGTTTGTTGACTTTGTATCCTGGGAATTTTTTCAGGATTCACTAAATTCACTTACTAGTTCTAATAGTTTTTTGTTCATTTCTTAGGATTTTCTACTTAAAGAAATATGTCACGTGCAAATGGGGACAGTTTTGCTCTCTCTCCAAAGTCATGACATTTTTTCTTGCCTTTTTCACTAGTTAGGATTTCCAGTACAATATTGAACACAAGTACAGGGAAAGCATTCAGTATTTCATCAATATAAGTATGATGTTAGCTGTAGATGCCTTTCATCATTGACAGAGTTTTCTTTCATAACTAGTTTACTAAGAATTTTTATTGTGAATTGGTATTGAATTTTGTCAAATGCTTTTTTGGTGTTTATTGAAATTATCATTTTTTCCTTTATTCTGTTATTATGGTGGGTAGCATTGTTTCATTTTTATGTATAATAAATTAACCTTGCATTTCTGGGATAACTAGTATTCCCGACTTAGTCATGATATATTATTTTTACATATTGCTGGATTTGATAATATTTTGTCAAGTATGTTTGTATTTATGTTCATAAGGGATACTTTTCTTGTAAAAGTCTTTGTTAGGCTTTGATAGAAGGGTTTTCTGGTCTAACAGAACAAGTTGGGAGTGTTTATTCCTCCTCTTTTTTTCTAAAAAGGTTTGGGTAAGAGTCTTTCTTAAATGTTTGAAGTAATTCAGCAGTGAAATCATATGGTCTAGGAGTTCCTTTTGTGTTGAGGGTCCTCCATGATGTTCATTACAATATCATTCATAGAGATAAAAAAGCTAGAAACAAGGCCGGGCGCGGTGGCTCACGCCTGTAATCCTAGCACTTTGGGAGGCCAAGGTGGGAGGATTGCTCAAGGTCAGGAGTTCGAAACCAGCCTGAGCGAGACCCCATCTCTACCAAAAATAGAAAGAAATTAATTGACCAACTAAAAATATATATACAAAAAGTTAGCTGGGCATGGTGGCACATGCCCGTAGTCCCAGCTACTCGGGAGGCTGAGGCAGGAGGATCGCTGAGCCCAGGAGATTGAGGTTGCTGTGAGCCAGGCTGACGCCACGGTACTCACTCTAGCCTGGGCAACAAAGTGAGACTCTGTCTCAAAAAAAAAAAAAAAAAAAAGCTAGAAACAAAATGAAGCAGTACAATGGGTGATAACATCAAGGTACATCCGTAGCATGGAATTTTTTCTTTTTTTTTAAAACAGAGTATCACTCTGTTGCCCCAGCTAGAGTGCCATGGTGTCAGCCTAGCTCACAGCAACCTCAAACTCCTGGGCTCAAGCGATCCTCCTACCTCAGCCTACGGAGTAGCTGAGACTACAGGCATGAGCCACCGCACCGGCTAATTTTTTTTTTCTATTGTTAGTTGTTTGGCTAATTTCTTTCTATTTTTAGTAGAGACGGGGTCTCGCTCTTGCTCAGGCTGGTTTCAAACTCCTGACCTTGAACGATCCTCCCGCCTTGGCCTCCCAGAGAGCTAGGATTACAGGAGTGAGCCACCGTGCCAGTCCAACCCTTCCCCTAACTTTTGACAACTAAAAATGTCTCCAGACATTGTCAAATGTCCCCTGGGAGGCAAAATCCCCCCTGTTGAGAACCACTGACCTATAGCATGCCACAGGCAGAGGCATGACAGATACTAGGTGGAGTGGTGGGACTTCTCTAGCATCCTTGTCGTGAATCAAGGACCCCTGCGCGTGTGGGACCTTGAATAAAAACCTTGGTGGCCTCTTACCCATGCAGATCACAGGGACAGAGCTCAAGAGATGCTCTGTAATTGCATAAGTGCCCCCAAAGAAATGTTTGACATGATTTTTTGTTTCCCTTTTGCCTCATCCGGTGTCTTTATTCACCTCCCCTGCTCCAAGAAGAAAAAAGCTATTTCCATTTGTCACTCAGAGGATGGTATGCAGTGGTATGTTCTCTGGAATGCTAGTTCTACAGAATGGTAACTAGATAGTATGTAAAGAAAGGATCCAGGGCCAAAGAGTTTGGGAAATGTTTGTGTAAATAAAGATACACTGTTCTCTTTATTTTGCAGGGTTTTTGAGAGCATTTAATATCAACTATAAATTATGGATCTCCAAGAAGGACTAGAGTAGTCCTATTTCTCAAGCTTTTTGAATGTGCAATTTCCTCGCAAAGCATTTCCCAGGGAAATAATGTTCTATTGGACACATTTGGGGAAGCACTGTGCAGAGGCACTAAGGCAGGCACTGGCTCTGTGGGCCAGGGTGCTGGTGAGGAGTGGGGTGGGGGTACTAAGCCTGGGAGGCGTGAGGTAATGCAATGAACAGACAAGGTTTTGATCTTGTACACACCCGGTACACACCAATATGGCCACGATGGTTATTAGAACATCGAACAACTCTTACTTTAGTTGGTGAATGGCTGATGTCCTGAGTCTGCTGAGTGCTGCCTGGCCCCTTGCCCAGCACTCCCCAGACCTCCTCTAGGGTTAGTGCTGCCTTTAGGACCTGGCTTCAGCATTGTGGGCTGTGTCTTTTCTGATTGGTTGTTGTTAGCAACCTGGGCTGCAGGTTGATAACATTTTGAATACCATCCTGAGTGTGAGGGATGAAATAGGGGATAGTAACAAAAGAGGAGCATGAAACTTTTAGTTGGAAATGATCTTAGAGTATTCAGGCCATTATATCAGGCTCCCATTTGTTGGCTCGCATGAGAGTGACCTATAATATTTAGCTATATCGATTTAAAACTACGTAATATAATTGGGTAGAACCACTCTCTGAATAACCAAATGCTGAACTTTCTACTGTATGTTAAGTTGGTAGAACAGCATTTTGCCAGTTGAAAGAAGGAATACTTTTACAATTAATTCCTTTTGGAGCCTCTGAGATGAAAGTCCCTGGCGGATCAAGTCATTCGATTGGATATGACCTCACAGGCCACCACATTGACGTGTATCTCTTGAAAGGGGTCTGTCTGGAGGGCAGTGGCAGCCAGCCTCAGGCCTTGGGCCTGACTGCGGCTGTGTTAACATGACTTGTGGTCAGGCAGAGCACTCCTCATAAAGAAAGGCCTGCACTAAGACACACCTGCCAGTAGCACGCTTGTCACCAGGTGAATGAGATGGAGAAAAAGTCTAGCCATCACTAAAGATGGGAAGGAGTGGGGGGCCTATTCCTTGAACTTTGAAATGCTTATTTTCAGAGATATATACATTGCTCAGTTGAGTAGGTCCCACAAACTAATTAATACATTTTAATTATTAATCTTAGTAATAAATCTTACTAATAAGTTGAATTAGAAATTTTAATATCTATTTCCACACTTATTAACAAATCTGAAGGAAACTATCAAGGATTCTTTCAGGATCTTTGATGAGAAAAAACTTTAATGTATATTCTAAGCTATAAGAACTTTGATTTTTGCAAGAAATAATAAAAAACCTAAAAGAAGAACTTTGATTTTTATAAGATAATGCAGAAGTGAGTTATGCTTACCTTTAGTTTCTGAGAGAAATAAAACCTGATTAACTTGCTTAAAATATTTGTGAGTTTTTGAATTGTGATCATAAATAATAAATAATGACTTAATAACTCTACTTTTAGAGTTGGCCTAAATTGTAAAGTAGTTCTTTATTTGTGCTTACACAATAGTATTGAGCAAGTGAACAATCTACGAGAGATACAAGCACTGAGGCGCCTGCACCCACACCCAAACATTCTCACGCTGCATGAAGTGGTTTTGTAAGTATATCTGGAGCTTGAAAAGTTATCTGAATTTGCTGAAAATGCTAAATCTCTTTTTAGGAAAGAAAACCATGGTAGGCATTTTAAGTATTTGCTTTGTAGCTCAGGGAATAACAATTTTTGACTTCATCTTAAACCACAGTTTTATTTGGACAAATGTGTATCTGATTCCTAATGTGGAAATGCGTTAGTTTATGTGACTCCATATTGTAAGAGCATGCACACCGTGTGCAGAGTTTGTCTCTTGTAGCTCAGTTAGGCTTCTGCACCCTTGAGTGTGAGTGATGACTTACCGGGAAAGGACCGTTGTGTTATTTCAGGGATTGTGTGTTCTCACTTTGTCCCGCCAGTTACCATTTCTACACAGTCTCCTGTAGCCTTTCCTAGTATAATTGATATCATTTCTGGGTATTTAAAAATTTCTCTTCTAATTATAGAATAGTTTCCATAAGGTTTACCTACCAATCAAGAAGGCAGCGCACAGCTTGTCCCTAGGTGTCTGCCCAGGCCTGGGAAGCTGCCTCCCTGGTAGCTCTGTGCTGTGCTGCTGGGCCTCAGTGAACCAGGGAGTCAAGCTGCAGGGTTTCAGGACCTGGAGGGGCACTGCTACTCTGAGAAGGTGTATCTCAGTGTAGAAGTATCACTGCAGCTCTGAGGGGAGCCTGACCTATAAGGTCAGCCAAGCAACTTATCTCTGCCGGGTAAAGCACAGTAGATTTTAATCAGAGGATGGTATAGTTTTAAACTCAAAATGAAATGTCTTGTCATAGCTGTGTGGCTTCCTGGCCTACAGTGTTCTTAGAAGTCAGTTTCGGCCAGGTCCAGAGATTGCAGTTTGCATGTAGTAGTCACAGCACTGTGTGTATGTCATGTGCTACACATGTACTTTGTAAAGCACTTCTGGGCAGAATCTCACGGGGCCTCATAACAGCCAAGAGGTAGTAGGACCCCTTCCAGCCAGACTGGAGGAACCCAGAGCAGGCTCTCCTGCTCAGGGCTCAGAACACTCTTTAAGGGCCTGCTTGAACTCAGGAGAAGCTGGTAGCTCAGCCAGAAGCCTCTGTTCCCACTCTGTGTCAGGCTTAGACATCACATGGGTGTGGTGTGATGTCTCTTTCTTTTTTTCTCCTGACTAGTTTTGGGTTTTGCTCTCCTGTTGTAATTTATCCCAATTACATGGAAGTAATTCAGGTAAATTAAAGGCACATTTGCAGTCATAGAACATGAATTAACTTATTTTTTCTTTTATTGTTTTGCTTAGCCAACTCCCCAAACTTTTTTCTTCTTTTTGCTGATAGTTAATTTTGTATGTTCAAGACATATCTTTTTCTAAAAAACGACGTTTAGAATTTTGCTCAAAGTAGGGTTTTACTAGTATTTTAAATTAATTTTACCTGAAATATTGATTTAAAAGCAAAGCCTCTACTGTTTCAGTAGTTACACTGCAGTCTTTGTCTGATGTAGAAGTACCTTATGTTTACTAGAAATGTTTACAAATGAATTAAATATTTATTATATTTTCTGATTAAGACAAAAATCGTTTTAAAAACCTACTTTCTTCTTCAGTGACAGAAAATCTGGTTCTCTTGCACTAATATGTGAACTTATGGACATGAATATTTATGAGCTAATACGAGGTATGTAGAATAATTTGAAAGCTAATCTGAGATCCTCTTTAAGGCTTATAGTTCATATGCACTTGTTATAGTTCTCAAAATCATTAGTCATTATAGTGCAGTAGTTATACATAAATATATTGTACGGGACTACTTCACTCACAGGGAGGCATTTTTCTGGCAATGTCATCTACTCAGAACATGGCTGCAAATAAGAAGTAAAACCACAAGGCCCACTGGGTGACCGTTTGATTTGGGCAAGGACGGTGCTGAAGGCAGCAGGGGCAGCTGCATGGCAGAGCACTCCCCGCCTGGGCCTCCCTCACCATGGGTCATGTGTGCTCAGGCCCGTCTGCCTCTGAGGGTCACTCTTCTTCCCAGGCTCTGCTGTTGTTTGACACTTTGGCCTCCCAAAATGTGGGGATTATAGGTGTGAGCCACTGCACCTGGCCTAGAGTGCATGTTCTGGCTCTTGACAGCGCTATGTGATTGGCACTATTATTATCATCTCCATTTTACAGATGAGGAAATTGAGGCTTGAAGAATTAAGTAATAATCCAAAATTAAGCTGTTAATAAAGGTCAAGCCAGGACTTAAACTCAAGTCTAAATCTGAAACCTTAACCAGTAAGCTCTATGACTGCCCTGGGTCTCTGTTCCTAGCCCTGTGTTAATGCCTCAAGTGAATAGGCACTTACTCATATTTGTTCTTGTTTATGATGATGCTGATTCATTAAAAACAAAATCAATCACTAAAGCTTTTGCTACCAGAATGGCAATTCTTGTGACTTAAGTTACTACTCTCTTAGATTGTTAGAATATTGAGTAGTACTATATTTACTATAGCGTTTACTAAAGAATGAGATATTAATGAAATAAGGAAATGAACATGCATTCTTTGAGTTGTCTACTTATGTGCAAGGTCTAGCAAGAACCAAGAAGATAGAGAAGAAGATATAAGATGTGTTTTTTTATATTTAAAGGTTATATAGTCTATTATGCACATAAACTACATGAAAGTGAATCATTAGAGAAATGAATCACTGGGGCAATTTTTTCTTTGTCTCACAGGAGTCATAGGAAGCAGAGATGACTGTGGGCTAGGGTCGTATAGGCTTACCTGGAGGAGTGGTGGAATTAGACAAGTGCAGGAGAGGATCTTCCATTCATGATGACATGTCATGGGCTATTCTAGGGGCAGGGACACAGTAGGAAATGTGATAGCACATTTCCCACCCGCTGGGAGCTCACACTCTGATGATGAGAGACAGACAGTAAACAAGTAAAGAAATGGTCAGGAATTCCAGACAGGAGTAAGTGTTGTGAGTGAATAAGACAGGCCAGTGTCAGAGAGTGGTGCGGACAGAGTATTCCAGGTGGAGGGACAGCCTGTGCAAAGGCCCTAAGGCCGCTGTGAGGGACGAGGCCCATGTGGCTAGAGGACATGGAGGAGAGTTGTAGGAAATGAGATGGGCAGGCACAGGGGGCTGGGGGTGGAGGGCTGGTAGGGCCAGGGTACAAATTTGTGTTATTCTTAGTTCAATGGGAAGTCAATAATGGGTTTTAAAGAAGGTGAGAGGTGGCTTTCAGTTGGTATTTAGTCCAGTGTTTCTAACACTATAGCAGAAGACCAGTTGTTTTACTTCTGCTCTATTGTGGGCCATAGTTTTTATAAAATACAGTACAAATGAATTATCAGAAAAAAGATCATGTGCTTAGCTGTCATAGCAATGTCAAATTGTTGTAAACAGTTCTAAACAGTTATTCTTAATTTTTGTCATCTCCTCTTAGACCAGTAACAAATAGTACCTGGATTGTGTTCAATTGTGGCCTATGCTTTGAGTAACACCTCTTTAGAAGAACTCCGGTTGCTATTTAAAGAATAAATGGGCTGGGCCAGGTACAGTGGCTCACACTTGTGATCCTAGCACTTTGGGAAGCTGAGGTATGAGGATCACTTGAGGCCAGGAGTTCAAGACAGGCCTGGGCAATATAGTAAGACTCTGTCTCTGAAAAAGAAGAAAAATAGAAAAATTAGCTGGGCATCATGTAATGCCTATAGTCCTAGCTTCTCAGAGGCTGAGAAAGGAGGATCACTTGAGCCCAAGAGTTTTGAGGTTGCAGTGAGCTATCATAACTACACTCTAGCCAGGCTGACAGAGCAAGACCCAATCTCAAAATAATAATAATAAGGCAGGTGGATGTATCGGTTGTCCATTTTAGGGCAGATAACGCATCTGTCCTCACTAGTTTAACTCACAGGGATTATTCTGTTTAAATAGCTTCACAGAATCATTGGGAGGACAAAAGAAACAGACTCTAGGTTTAGCTTCTGGGAAGTAGCTTCCAAAAGCAACTCTATAGGATTGCACTGCTCAGGGAGCTACTGCCTCTGCCACTGACAAGACTGCAAAATAAAGCTGCTGTAACTCCCAACTCTAGTGTCACACCATCTCTGCCAGAGTCTGGAAGCTGCCATGATCTGTGCCCTCTGAATGGATGCTCCCTTCCTCTCATCTGTCCCCATACCTGGGCCCAAATCATCTGTCACAAGTGGTCCCATTTAGGCAGAACCCAAGTCACATCTGGAACCCCCAGCTGTAAGGCACTCTGAAGAATGTCATTTTGGGCTTTGAAGCTGGTGTGCTAGGTGGGGGTTGTCCTGAGCGAGCCAGTCTACAGTGTATGCTGTGGGGGCAAGAAAGGTGGTGGGAGCCTGGGGAGAGATGGTAAAGGCCTGTGTCCACTCACTTTGGAAAGAACTTCCCTGGATTCTTCATTGGATTGAGTTAGTAATTGGGGTGAATAGAGAACTAGCTACATTGTCAGCAATCCTAGTTTGTGTGGGTACGTTGTGCATATGTCTGTGGGCTCATGCCGTCTGCAGTAGGAAAGGCTGTCTTGGAATTTGTAAAGGAAAAATTGTGTGTAAAGGAGGTTTAAGTATCCTTTATAACCTGATTACAGAGGCAGCTGCTATTTTACAAGGTTGTATCTGATTCTATTCTTTTTTTAACTGTTCCAGGTTCAATTCATTTGCTATTGTGAATGGCTAATTCAGTGTTCTCTTCACCCTCACTGGTGCCCACTTTAGAGCCTGGGGTGGCTACCCCTTCACCTCATGTCTCCCGTCTTGTTTCTTCATCTCATGCACTCTGCCTGACACATAGCTGTTTCTTTATGGTTTGTCCTCCTCTTTCCACTAGCGTGGAAGCTCTCAACGTGGGGCCACGTTGGCTTCATCATTGGTGTCCTCTTAGAGCCCAGCACTGTCCTGTGTGTTGCAGGTGTCAGTTGTCTACCTGGATGATGTTGATAGATACTGAGCATCATAGTTAGACTGTTTTCACTGCAAGGAGCACATACCATTTAACCAGTTCACAGACGAACGAGTGAGTTTATTGTAAAATCATAGATATCTTGTAGAAAGTCCAGTCAGGCCTCCCAGGAGGTGGAAGCAGGAAAGCTCTGATTGCCAAGGCCACACCACTAACTGCTTCAGGGCTACACCATCTCCTGCCATGGCTGCTCTGCCTGTCCTCCTCCCCCTCTCTTGGTAGACTTAGCCACCAGACCCTGAGATCCTCCACTGGAAGCAGTCTCTGCATTATTGAGAGAAAATGAAGTCCCAGTCATTGCCCACTGGTGCCTTTCAGAGCACCAGCAGCCCCTGGTCCAGTAGGCTGGCCTGTTACCTCAGGGTTATACCTTTTAGAGGCTATGACTTGAAATTTAAATCAAGTAAAATGTGACATCTTCTGAAAGAAGGATAAACTGCAATGTTGGAAGTGTAGTAATAAGAGTTTTTGAATCTAACAAAAAGCTTCCGGAAGGAAGGCAAGGCTAGCCACAGGAGTGTGAGTCTGGGTGCTGCTGTAGACTAGCACTACGCCTGCAGCAATTGTGGGAACTGCTCTTCTCCTTCTGTGAAAGATGACGGTGTGGACTGTGAATTCTAAAGCAATCAGTGGTTTTCTTGGATTGAAAAAAAAGTACTTCTGTTGAACTATAATCTACTTCCCTTTAAAATGGAAATCTCAGCCAGGCACATGCCTGTAATTCTAGCACTCTGGGATGCCAAGGCAGGAGGATTGTTTGAGCTCAGGAGTTCAAGACCAGCCTGAGCAAGAGTGAGACCCCGTCTCTACTAAAAATAGAAAAATTATCTGGGTGTGGTGGTGCATGCCTGTAGTCCCAGCTACCTGGGAGGCTGAGGCAGGAGGATCGCTTGGCCCAGGACTTTGAGGTTGCTGTGAGCTAGGCTGATGCCATGGCACTCTAGCCTGGTGGGTAGGTGAGGGGGCTGTCTACATAAATGAAGGAATGAATGAATGGAAATCTCCATATAGACAGGAAGCCTAGGAAAACACTGGGCTAAACACTAAAAAACATTAAGTGACTCCTAATGTTTTTCATAAGCAATACAGTTTGAAGAAGAGTGTCCTTGAAGGCCCACCCTGAGGCTCAGGTTAAGGTAATCAGACTATGCTACTCTTACGATTATCACTCATAGTGTTCTCACTGAAATAAAAATGTTCGCACTTTGAACGTTCACAGCACAAAGAAATGATAAATGTTTGAGATGATAGATGTGCTAATTACCCTGATTTGATCATTACACATTGCATATGTGTATCAAAATAACACTCTATGTTCCATAAATATGTACAAGTATTACATGTCTACTAAAATAAAAGGGGAAAAGTGATCAACAGTTCTCTGTCATTCTTCAGTAATGTTTATTGATTGCTTATTAAATATCTGGTAATTTCCCAAACCTTCTTTACCTATTTCAAAACTCAGAAAAAACAAACAAGCAAGTGCAGAGGCAAAATTACTGTGAAGTAATTGATAAAACTTACTTGCTTGGGTGCCTTCCAGAAAAGAGGCCCAATATCTTTATGTTTATATATATAATATATATATATATTTTTTTTTTTTTTTGAGAAAGGGTTTCGTACTGTCACCCATGCTAGAGTGCAATGGCATCATCATAACTCACAGCAACCTCAAACTTCTGGGCTTCAGTGATCCTCCTGCCTCAGTATCCCCGGTAGCTGGGACAACTGGCACACATCCCCGTGCCCAGCTAATTTTTCTATTTTCTGTAGAGACGAGGTCTCGCTCTTTCTCAGGCAGGTCTCAAACTACAGGCTTCAAGCAGTCCTCCCACCTCAGCTCCCCAAAGTGCTAGGATTATAGGCATGAGCCACTGTGCCTGGACACATGTTTATATATTTTATTAAATTTATAAAAATAAGATGCTTCAACCAGAATCAGTTAAGACTGCCATCTCTTTCCATTTCAGCTGTCCTTAGGTCATATATTCCTCTTGTGTTGTAACCATGTGGAAGGGTTGACTAGGGTACATCTATGTGCTTTGCAGTCTCTCACATGCGAAATTGCATTCTTGCTGGCCGTCTCTGGGTGTCTTCTAAGAATATTCTGAATATGGTCAATTCAAAGAATATTGAAAAGAAGTCACTCCCTAGAAAATTTGAAATACCTGGAAATCTTACAGCTTAGACATGAAAAAAACGCAACAGAGATTTTCCTAAATTTGAGAACAACCCTAAAAATTACATGGTATTACTAAGGAGTAGTTCAGAATGTCAAAGAAGCCTCTGTAAACTGTCAAAAATGAAAATAAAAAGCAATCTTCCATTAAAAATGTATGTGAGCACTCTGGGAGGCTGAGGCAGGAGGATCGTGTGAGCTCAGGAGTTCAAGACCAGCCTGAGCAACAGCGAGACCCCGTCTCTACTAAAAAATATATAGAAAGAAATTAGCTGGACAACTAAAAATATCTATTTATCTATGTATATATATAAAATTAGCTGGGCATGGTGGCGCATGCCTGTAGTCCCAGCTACTTGGGAGGCTGAGGCAGGGAGATCACTTGAGCCCAGGAGTTTGAGGTTGCTGTGAGCTAGGCTGATGCCACGGCACTCTACTCAGGGCAATGGAGTGAGACTCTATTTCAGGAAAAATAAAATATATATGTGCTGTGTGATTTTGGATGAAATCATGCCAGTATATAGAATTTTAAATTTAGATTATCACACATCATCAAATTAAACTAGATTATATATTTTATTTCAATAAAAGGGGATATGGGAGGGTGGAAGGGACAGGTATATTCACACCTAATGGGTGCAGTGCACACCGTCTGGGTGATGGACTCAATTGAAGCTCTGACTCGGGGCAAAGGAAATCTATGTAACCTAAACATTTATACCCCATAATATGCTGAAATAAAAAATGGGTGGGATATATACCATTGGTAACCATATTTGCCTATTTCCTTGATTGTACAGGGAGAAGACACCCATTATCAGAAAAAAAAATTAGGTACTATATGTACCAATTATGTAAATCCCTTGACCATATGCACAGGTATGCTCTTGGGGCTTTGGGAGCTCTGAAATTAATAAAATGTATTGACATTTGTTTACAATACAATTTAAATTCAAGAATTTGAATCAAAGTGCAAGTAATTCTATTCTTCCTTTTATACTGCATGTAGAAATGGAATATTTCACAGAGATGTAAAACCAGAAAATATACTAATAAAGGTAAGAACCGTTATATGAAAACTTGCTATCAGGCCGAGTGCGGTGGCTCACACCTGTAATCCTACCACTCTGGGAGGCCGAGGCAGGCGGATTGCTTGAGGTCAGGAGTTCAAAAACAGCCTGAGCAAGATGAGACCCACCGTCTCTACTATAAATAGAAAGAAATTAATTGCCACTAAATATATAGTAGAAAAAATTAGCCGGGCATGGTGGCGCATGCCTGTAGTCCCACAGCTACTCGGGAGACGGAGGCAGGAGGATTGCTTGAGCCCAGGAGTTTGAGGTTGCTGTGAGCTAGCTGATGCCAGCACTCACTCTAGCCTGGGCAACAAAAGCGAGACTCTGTCTCAAAAAAAACAAAAAGAAGAAAGAAAGAAAGAAAGAAAACTTGCTATCAGAATAAAGGTAGAATATAAAAGCTTTTTCACTGGATATGCTTTCACTTCCAGACAGCTGGGTAGCATGGTTTTTGTATTTTTTTCCCTCCCAGTTTGTAAAAGATGGTTTATTTAATAAATGCCCTCAATATAATGGACTACACACTTAGAAGGCACCCTTCTCACACTGTAGACAAAAATGAACTCCTTTCAGATTGTCATTCTACTTTTTTTTTTTTTTTTTTGAGACAGAGTCTCACTCTGTCACTCAGGCTGGAACCTGGAGCTACAGGACCTCCCATCAAATAGCCTTGCTGCAACCTTGAAACTCCTGGCTCCAAGGGATCTCCCTGCCTCAGGGCTCCCAGTAGCTGGGCTACAGTTGGGCATCGAACACCACGTCTGCCCTAATTTTTCTATTTTTGGTAGCAGATGAGGTTCTAAATTCTTGCTCCAGGCCTGGTCCCCCTCCACCTCCCTGGCGCTCTAAAGCGATCCTCCTCGTTCCAGCCTTCCATAAGGGGTGAGCCACCTCTCCCAAGGCCCGACTTGTCAATTCTAAACACTCTAAAGGTGGCCGGGCACAGTGTCACCGCCTGTAATCCTTGGCCACTCCCTGGGAGGCCAAGGCAGGCAGATTGCTCGAGTCAGAGTTCGAAAAAGCCCAGCCTGAGCAAGAGCGAGACCCGTCTTTACTATAAATAGAAAGAATTAATTGGCCAATTTTTCTATATATATAGAAGAAAATTAGCCGGCCATGGGTGTCGCATGCCTGTAGGTCCCAGCTACCTCGGGAGGCTGAGGCAGGAGATTGCTTGAGCCCAGGAGTTTGAGGTTGCTGTGAGCTAGGCTGACACCAGGGCACTCACTCTAGCCTGGGCAACAAAGCGAGACTCTGTCTCAAAAAAAAAAAGGAGTTTGAAACCAGCCTGACCAAGAGCAAGACCCCACCTCTACCATAAATAAAAAAAGAAATTAATTGGCCAACTAATATATATAGAAAAAATTAGCTGGGCATGGTGGCACATGCCTGTAGTCCCAGCTACTCGGGAGGCTGAGGCAGGAGGATTGCTTGAGCCCAGGAGTGTGAGGTTGCTGTGAGCTAGGCTGACGCCACTGGCACTCACTCCTAGCCTGGGCAACAAAGCAAGACTGTCTCAAAATATAAAAAATAAACACTCTAAAGGTAAACTTGGTAGAGGCAGCATTTGTGCTCAAGTCTGTCTCATTCCAAAGCCACCAAAGCTACTGGTGTTTAAACTGGACAATTTGCTGTTTCCCTGGTGTGTGCCTGGCTTGCCATCAGCAAAGTCCTCTGAAGCCACATGTTGAAAAGAGCCCCAGCAGGGGAGCGGGGAGCTCAGCTGCCCTAAGAGCTGGGTGGCACAGCAAGAACTTGGCTATTGTCATTCATTGTAGAAGCACACCATGACTTGTTCATTTTCAGAACCCATAGACATTTGGAAGTACATGTAAAACATAGGCAGAATGTTTATAGACGTGCTCCACTGACCATAAACGCCACTTCCTCATCTGTTAGAGGCACTTTCAGGTGCTCATAAAGCCAGTAATTTGTATTTTACAAACTAGTTTAGATGCAGTCGTTTTTTCATTAGTGCATAAATATTTGAAATAGTCTGTATTACAACAGCTGAACAGTGAGATGTTACTTGCCCTTGCTTTTCTCCCCCTTGCAGCAGGATGTCCTGAAATTAGGGGACTTTGGATCCTGCCGGAGTGTCTATTCCAAGCAGCCGTACACAGAGTACATTTCTACACGCTGGTACCGGGCCCCAGAGTGTCTCCTCACTGACGGGTTCTACACATACAAGATGGACCTCTGGAGCGCTGGCTGCGTGTTCTACGAGATCGCCAGGTAGCACGAGGCGTGGAAGGGCTGGAACAGCAGCTCCATGCCAGCTCCTTCCTTTACGATCCATTTTACTTTCAATCGGAGTTATTTGTTTAACTGTTTATTAATTTAACAGAAAATTTACTAGAAACTTTCATTTTACTTTTTTTTTTGGAAACAGAGTCTCACTCTGTTGCCCTGGCTACAGTGCCGTGGCATCAGCCTAGCTCACAGCAACCTCAAACTCCTTGGCTCAAGCGATCCTCCTGCCTTAGCCTTCTGAGTAGCTGGGACTACAGGCATGTGCCACCATGCCCGGCTAATTTTTCTACATATTTTTTTAGTTGGTCAATTAATTTCTTTCTATTTTTAGTAGAGACAGGGTCTCGCTCTTGCTCAGGCTGATCTCGAACTCCTGAGCTCAAAGGATCTGCCCGCCTCGGCCTCCCAGAATGCTAGGATTACAGGCGTGAGCCACCGCACCTGGCCTCATTTTACTTTTTGTCAAACACTTTTCCTTGCTCTTCACAGAGAACAAGCAGCATCAGATACTGCTTTCCTCCCAGCACCTCTAGCCATTCGTCGGGGGCCCCTTCATCTGGCTTGATGATAGAGTGACTGATAAAGGAGTGTTCTAGAATAGAGAAGCCAGCTTACGGCTGCCTGCTGGGGCCTGCCATGGGGAGGGGTGAGCAGGTGGCCCCCTGGGGTCTACTCTGGGAGGTAGTCGTGTCAGGCAGGATGCTCTGGCCACAGGTGCAAGGATGAGGCACCTCTGGCACAGCTGGGCTCTAGAAGGCCCTATCCCAGCCAGTCCCTCCCCAGCCTCCAAACCCCTTGCTCCGCCTAGTCTTTGGGAAGGAGCAGTGGCCCAGGCAAGAGGAGTGAGTGTTCTTCCCACTCAGAGGTCAGTAGGGTGGGAGTTAAAGAAGTCCACAGAGCGGGTGAGGTAGCACCTTCTTGCTCATGGTGGACCTTCAAGACAGATGTCACTGTGTTTAGCGGCTGGTGGCACACATCTGAAGGGGAGGACCCAGCAGAGGCAGGAACCCAGATGTCCTCCAGTCCCACCTGCTCAACTGACTGCTACAAAAATACAGACAGATGTGCACTTCAGGACACACTCTCCTTTGATTCTAGATCATTCATATTAATAATTTGCTATTTTGGAAAATTGAGTGTCGATTTCTCTGAAGCCAAAAGTGCCAACAGACAATCTCTTTTCTTTCTTTTTTTTTTTTTTTTGAGACAGAGTTTCACTCTGTTGCCCAGGCTAGAGTACGTGGTGTCAGCCTAGCTCACAGCAACCTCAAACTCCTGGGCTCAAGTGATCCTTCTGCCTCAGTCTCCCGAGTAGCTGGACTACAGACATGCGCCACCATGCCCAGCTGATTTTTTCTATATATTTTTAGTTAGCCAATTAATTTCTTTCTATTTTTAGTAGAGATGGGGTCTTGCTCTTGCTCAGGCTGGTTTCGAACTCCTGACCTTGAGTGATCCTCTGGCCTCAGCCTCCCAGAGTACTAGGATTACAGGCGTGAGCCACTGCCCAATCCCTTTTCAAGTGTTAAAATCTCTTGAAGTAATTGGGAAGGGTGTTAAAGGACTCAAAAGTTAAGAACATGACAGCTGATGGCATCTAACCAGACTGTTAGGCAGCCCAAGGTAAATCAGTTATCAGACTATTTCCTGCTCACCCATGTTTTCCTCTTCGCTCTTTTAGTCATGAGATTCTGCTATTTTCCTGAGCAGAAGCTAGTCCTACTACCAGAGCTAGATTTTTAAACTCTTCTTTGTGGCATGTACTATGAATTGAATTTATTTATACAGGTCTAAAATCTTTTGTCCACAATTCCAATATCCATAAAATCTCTGAAAACCAAAAGGTTCCTTGGAACTCATTTGTTGGCGAAATTTGACCCGACCCACTCTGAATCTGTTAACACAACTCACCTGGGCTGATGGGAGGCTTGTTACAGTGGTTATTGATCATAGTTAGTGTGAATAGTCACGTTTCAGGTTAGACACTGGAGTGTTCAAGTGTAGGAATGTGGATCTGTCTCTTGCCTCTTAGAAAAACACATTGAGGACTTATTGGTAAAGTAGCAACAGAAGGGTCCAAGCAAAAGGGAGGACGGAAGTCTCCCAGCCATGAGGATTGCTATTTGGGTGAGGTTCATTTCCTTGTGAATGAGCCCACCTGGCAGGGCAGAGAGGCCACACCCCGGGCTGACCACAGTGCCTCTTGGCATGCCCTTCCAGCCTGCAGCCCCTCTTCCCTGGAGCAAATGAACTGGACCAAATCTCAAAAATCCATGATGTCATCGGCACGCCTGCTCAGAAGACCCTCACCAAATTCAAACAGTAAGTGTGGTGTGCTAAGAGTGGACAGGCACTTGCTCCCCCACCCAAGACCCGCAGCAGGGCGAGCCTGTCTCCGTGACACGTCCCTCCTGTCCCTACCCCACTGGGGCTGCTGCTGCGCTGAAAGGGCCAAAGGCCCGTCACTTTCAGAGGTTCACAAAGGTGCGCTCTTCCTTAAGGATCACAGAAAGACTTCTCGCAGCCTTCACGAGGGCCTGGGAGTCAGGTTTGGCCCCCTGAATATTTACACAGTACTTAGAAACAAAAAATGTTTCCCAAGCACTGACTGCTTGGTGAGGACTTTGTGCAGCTGCTTTTCACGTTGCTGCCTGGCCCTTGTGGACTCGTTAAGAGTTAAGAGTTTGGCTTTGATCACAGATGAAGCGAAGCTGGGGAGCTGGGCGTCCGAGGAAGGCCCTGGGGGCTGGGGGCTGGGGGCTGAGCACTCCTAGGGCCTAGGAAGGGGAGGTGACAACTATTTTTGATTCTTTTTTTTTTTTTTAACTTTTTCATCTCACATGGGAAGGTGATATTAATCTTTTATAAGAAAAGTAGTTTTCTTCCATTTATAGCATAACCGATTTCACACACCCCCTTTTTAAGACTTTATTTTTAGAGCAGTCTTAGGTGTGCAGCCAAATCGAGTGGCGAGTACAGAGCTATTCCCCAGCCCCCCTTCCCCACTGTCCACATCCCCCCCAGAGTGGTATGTTTGTCGTGGTTGACAAACCTACATTGACAAATCATGACCACGAGAGTCCATGGTTTACGTGAGGGCTCACTCTTGGAGTTGTACGTCCTGTGGCTTGGACGAATGTATGATCTGTAGGTCATTAAACTGTCACCTTCAGCTCAGGGCCTTAGATGGACTGGCCAAGTGCTCTACATAATGGCATGATCCTTTATTATCATTGGGCTTTTAATACAGGTCGAGAGCTATGAGTTTTGATTTTCCTTTTAAAAAGGGATCAGGAATACCTCTACTGACAACCAATTTGTCCCCGCAATGCCTCTCCCTCCTGCACTCAATGGTGGCCTATGATCCTGATGAGAGAATCACTGCCCGCCAGGCTCTGCAGCATCCCTACTTCCAAGAGCAGAGGTAGGCCCTCTGCTGACTTCCCTGTGACAGACAGAGTACCTGGCTAATGAGACCTGTGGGGCACACGGTGGGGCAAGGGACCAACTGGCCTCTGGAGGGTCCCCTTGTTCCTGGGAACAGCTCTCTCCATTGTGAACAGTGGTCAGTACTCCTTGGAACCCCCACTGTGCTGTTCTCTGGTGTATCCTCCCCAAAATAAGACTGTTAGCAGCTCCATGGCAAAGATAAGGGGGTCTGTCTGCTTTGTGGTTGATGCTGAGGCTCTAGTTAGTAAGATTCTAGAAGAGCCTGGCACACACCCTGTGTAAATGGCATAAATGCTTACATTTATAGCATGAACTCAGAAGGTTTTAGAGTACATTGGATATTACCTGGCACTGGAAGTAGCTGCTGAATGGGAACCTGACAGGTGTCTGCCCTGAGGTCGTCTATTTCCACACCTCTGGACACTCCTGTGTGTGTAACTATGGAGGTGACAGTTTGATCCCAAACCACAAGTCCCGGGGTAGGCAGTGCAGGCCTGCGGGAGGGCAGTGCCCCTGGGTCATGGAGCCTTCCCTGCTTCCGGCCCAGAGACTGTCGGGCTGAGACAGAAAAGAAAAAAAAAGGCTCCTCATCATAGCTCATGTGGAAAAGAAGAGCTGGTGACAATTCACACAACAGACAAATTTGGGACAAAAAAGGCAAACAAGCAGTTGTGCTCTGCAGGTTCTCAGCAGAGGCGTTTTGTTCTCCCCCCTCCCCCCAGGGCGGCTGAGAAGCAGGCTCTGGCCAGTCGCAGGAAAGCCTGCTTCCCAGAGCACCCTGTGGCAGCGGAAGCTCTCAGGCACGGCTGGCAAACGTCAAAGGAGGCCAGAAAGCAGGTACCAAGTGAAATCGGGGCTGGAAATAGCCTGGCTGAGTGGGCACTGGATGCCCTCGGGTGGCCTGTCTCTCTGAGGACACCACCTGTGGACCACACTGCGGCATCTGTCCTGAAAGTGCACTTTGTCCACCAAGGCCTGGACACTATGCCAGTTAATGTCTCCACACGTTAGAATGTTAGGGACCCTTGTTCTAATTGCTCAAGCCCTTTCTGCCCCACTAGCTAAGGATCGGTGGCTACCATCCCACATAAGCAGGGCCGGGCAAGGGGGGATCCTCACATGAGTTTGGGGTCTGTTCTGGTGACCATGTGCGGGTGCCAGGTTCTGTGCCAAAGCATGTTGCAGATGCCACGTCATTTGCCCTCAGAATGACCCTAGCAAGAGGCACAGAGAAGCCACAGCACTGGCCCAAGGCACCCACCTAGCCAGTGACAAGCCCCAAGCTCTGGGCAAGCCACACTCTCTCTACTTGACGCCCGAGCCCTCATGAAGCACAGCAGGCCCCAGATGAGTGCTGCGTCTGTCAGCAGAGATGGTTTTACATGCCTGTTTGGTTTAGAAATGTTAGCTTCATTTTGCAATATCTTCACCTTTCTGCCCACTGCCCATGTCCAGTCCTAACACGATGTCACCCATGTGGCACCCATTTGCTCAGTCCCACCAGTTTTACAGTTTGGGGCTAGTACTCAAACTCTGTGTGACAATGTGCACTTCTAGCATTCGTGTTTTCAGTCACCCATACAGCACTCGTTCACCCAACATCTGTTGAGTGCATGCTAGGAGCGAAGGTCACAGATCTGCAGCCAGCTTGCTTCCCAGAAATCTAGACTCCTGCGTCCCACTCGACAGCTCCACTTGAGTGTCTAAGAGGCAAACTTGCTCAGACCCGTCTCCTGATCCTTCCCCCACAGGTGCCGTTTCCCTGTGGCTTTCTCAGGCCTTCCCTCCAAGGGCGCAGGCAGCTCCCTTCAGCCCGAGCTGTCACTCCTCCCCGCACTGTCCCTGCAGCACCACCCTCAGAGAGCCTATGGGTTTGCCCTCTCACCTCCCTCATCCTGCCCTTGCCTGGACACAGATGACCTCCCAACCCTGTCCCTGCTCTGCCGCCCCTCCCTCCTGGATAGAGGGTCCCTTTCAAACATTTGTCTGGTGTCCTTCCCTGCCAGTACCTATGACAGGCCCCACTGTCAGTCACATCAAAGGTCAGCAAACTTTTCTATGAGGGTGGGACAGGAAATATTTTCGGCTTTGTGGACTGTGAGGTGTCTGTCGCACCCGCCCACCTCTCCTTGGTCCCGTGCGAAGGCAGCTGTAGGCAATACTCCAACCAATGGTGAGGCTGTGATCCAATAAAACTTTGGACACTGAAAGGTGGATTTCATATCATTTTCACATGCCAGAAAGGTTTTTTTAACCATTAAAACATTTAAAAAGCATTATTAGCTCACAAGCCATACTGGCGCAGGCAGCCAGCAGATTCAGGTGCAAAGCCTGAGAGGGAGGGAGGGAAGGAGGGAGGGAGGCAGGAGGTGTCAGGGCCTGCATTGGCTCCTCCTGCTACAGCCCCCCCAGGTACTGCTGGGTGGCTGCACCAAGATGGCACCAGCACAATGATAGTCACTGATGGGAATAGGCCAGATCGGAGAGGACAGGTCCCCAGGAGGGAGGCTGCAATGTGAGGTTTTGCTTATCTTTGTGGGACTCCATCGAGCAGCCACCTCACTCTTGGGTGTCGAGGACGTTCTGGACATTTTGTAGTCACTGTAAGGTCACACTCATGGTCAAGAAATTTTATTAGGCAAAAGTAGTACAAAAGAACCTCTTTGGTTTTTCCTAATTTTCATAAAAAGGAAGCTTTTTATGTCCAACTGACCTTTGTTCTGTTTCAAGAAACAGTCCCTAAAGCAAGAGGAGGACCATCCCAAGAGACAAGGACCGGCCTACATAATGGAACTGCCCAAACTGAAGCTTTCAGGAGTGACCAAACTGTCGTCTTACTCCAGCCCCACGCTGCACTCGGTGTTTGGATCTGGAACCAACGGGAAGGCCCCAGTGCTGAGGCCCCTGAAGTGTGTTGGTGCAAACAAGAAGGTAGTGCACACCACTGGCTCTCTGAGGGCGCCACTCCTGGGCCCCATCCCAGGCCTCGACTGAATGTCTGTCATTTTTCTTTAACAGACAGATCTGCAGAAGGACTTGAAACCTGCCCTGAAACAATGTCGCTTGCCCACCATAGAGAGGAAAGGTGGAGAGTACTGAGCAGCTTGCGCCACCTCAGCTCCATGCAGGGGAAAGCCAGGCAGGACCAGGGCCGCACGGACACACGGGGCTCGGGAGAAGCCTGGCGACCCGGGAAGAGCTGCTCTGCGACCGCCCGCGCCGGCTGGAGCCAGTGTCCTGGAGCCCGCGCGTGTTGGCAGCCCTGGAAGAGCTGCACTGTGTGTTCCAGTCCAATACATTTGTGACACCACCTCACTCTAGGGTTTTCATTTTCATAACCTGAGGATTTCGAGCAGGGACTATTTTGTGACTTTTTACATGGATCAGAAGGAATGCGCTGGGATTTGTGCGTTGGGCTGGCCGAGGACGGCTCCGAGTGTCTGTCTTTCCTGCACGTGGCCGTGAACGCACCTTGCAGAGTGTGCGCTTGGAGCCCCTGATTTTTATTAAAGGATAAGCTGTCGTTACAGTATTTCATTTTAATATTTTCTGAGTTAAACGTGTCCTTGCTGTCCATTCCTTTACTTTAGCTTTTGTGGGCATATTAGGGCAATTGATTGTGTTGGGAATCCTTTGGCATGGCTTAATTTTACTCCATTTAAAAAACCATTGTGGGCCGGGCGGCGGTGGCTCACGCCTGTAATCCTAGCACTCTGGGAGGCCGAGGCGGGCGGATTGCTCAAGGTCAGGAGTTTGAAACCAGCCCTATCGACGAACCTCTCCGTCCTCAACCAAGAAATGAGATATAAAAATTATTGACCCTAACCTTAAAAAAAACACATATGATAGAACCCTAAAAAACTTAGGACCGGGCCCCATGGTGGAGCATGCCCCGTAGTCCCACGCTAACTCCAGGAGGTTGCAAAGGCAGATCCCAGAGCAGCCTTATGCCCGACAGGAACACCAGGCGAGTCCCTTATCCTTCTCGCGCAGACGTGCAGGAGAGCGAAGAGTTCCTTAGCGCGAGTCCAGAGCGACGCGCCCACGTGCCACTCCGTCCTGAGGCGCATCGACGCGAGGCATATTTCACAAGTGAACCTCTGTCTCAAAAAAAAAAACCATTGTGGAAACGTACAAGCTTGTTCTCAGAGCCATCATCAGGACATTAGCCGGGGCGGTGGGGCGGTGGCATGAGGACAGGCCTGAGGGGTCTCTGCTGAGCACCAGGCTTCAAGATGCCACATGGGTTTACTTCTGGGAGAACAGAACACTGCCCTCCGCCTGCCAGTGGGGCTGTGAGCTTTGGTTCTGGGGGGCCAGCAGTAAGTTGGGCACCTTGTGTCCTACAGAAAGAAACCTGTTTCCCTCCGGGCTGGGATGGGAACACTGCAGAGAAACAGAGGCACCAGCCAGGATGCTGGAGAGAAGAATCCTAGTAAGCCTCTTTTTGTCTTAGAATGTGACCTAGTGGATGAGTGTTACTTCTTTCTCATCTTCTCAAATTTATTTTAAAAAAAAAGCTAAATTTACCAGGTTAGTGTTGAGTCTCCTCATTCCTCTGTTGAAACAGATCTGTGACGCCACTCCTTCCTTCCAGGTGCTCTCCGGGGCCCCACCCCCAGGCCACCTGTTGGGTGGTGAAGCAGAGCCAGGAGCGACAGGACATCTGGGCTGCAAGCGGTGGACACGGGGCCACGTGGAGGGGCAGCCAGCCCAGGGTACGGGTGTCTGGTCTGGGCCCCATGGTGGCAGAGGAGCCAAAGAAGGGCAGACTCAAGACTGGAAGTGAGGTTTGGATGAATGTGGGGAGGGCCTGGTGGAAGCTTCCTTTTAAGCCATTTGAGACCCTGCCAGGGCTGCCCCCATCACGGGGAGGTGTCCGAGCAGGGAGGGTGGGCGCCGTTCTGCCTCTGCAGAGGGCCTGGGGGTCAGGAGTCCCAGTGGAAGCCGAGACAGGTTCACAGACCAGAGACAGGGCTGGGGCAGAGTCCCACCCAGCCCGGCGGCAGGAAGGGCCAGTGAGACAGAAGACTGGGGAGGCAGGAGTGGTGGGGCATGGGTCAGAAGAAGGACCTGCAGGCAGGTAAGCCACATTCTTAGCCCGGATTGGGGGAGGCCACCAGCGAACCAAGTCCAGAGAGAGGCAGTGGCTGCTGTCATCAGGACTAGCTTTAAGTTAGGCACATTCAAGGCCTGTTAAGTGTGTTACCCCCCTTTAAGTATATAAAATATAAAGGGACTTGGAGGCCGAGGCAGGAAGATCACTTGAGCTCAGGAGTTAGAGACCAGCCTGAGCAAGGACAAGATGCCATCTCTACAAAAAATAGAAAAATTAGCCAAGTATGGTGGCGTGCACCTTTTATAGTCCCAGCTACTCAGGAGGCTGAGGCAGGGGAATTGCTTGAGTCCAAGAGTTTGAAGTTGCTGTGAGCTATGATGATGCCACTGCTCTCTAGCCAGGGTGACAGAGTAAGACTCCATGTCGGCCGGGCGTGGTGGCTCATGCCTGTAATCCTAGCACTCTGGGAGGCCAAAGCGGGCAGATTGCTCGAGGTCAGGAGTTCGAAACCAGCCTGAGCAAGAGCGAGACCCTGTCTCTAGTATAAATAGAAATTAATTGGTCAACTAATATATATAGAAAAAATTAGCCGGGCATGGTGGTGCATGCCTGTAGTCCCAGCTACTTGGGAGGCTGAGGCAGGAGGATCGCTTGAGCCCAGGAGTTTGAGGTTGCTGTGAGCCAGGCTGATGCCACGGCACTCACTCTAGCTTGGGCAACAGAGTGAGACTCTGTCTCAAAAAAAAAAAAAAAGACTCCATCTCAAAAAAAGGGGGGGGGGAGGAATCTCGAAGGTCCTTCTAATGCCTTTTTGAGAAAGCAAATGTGATGTGCAGATGCTGGGCAAGAAACTTCCCCACGGTGGGGGCTCTCCAGAGGCAGGCCCAGCTCACAGGGGACATGCCCTGTCCGCCAAATGCGGCCTTCCTGGTTTCGTGTTGGTCTCCAGCATGAACGCTCAGCAGCAGTGTGGAACCCGGCACACCGGGCCCAGGGAGGCCGGGGCTCTGTGGAGGAGCAGGGGCACTCTGCACGCTCAAACGTCAGCTTAACAAGGGCAAATCCAACTTCCTGCAGATTTGGAGAGAAGGAAAATCCTGTTGGCCGCCCTGGATGTCCTGCATTTCACTTGGAGCTCGCACCTGCCTGCTCTTGCAGCAGCAGGGTCCCAAGGCAGCTTCCAGTGCTGTGGTTCTCCATGTCCACCTTTGGGCCCAGCCTCCCAGCCCTGTGACAGGCAGGTGCTGGCCAGAGCTGAGGGCACGGGGCCAAGCTGGCTCATCCCACGGAGGCCACCTCTTCCTGTTGTCAGAGCCCTGTTGGGGGCTCTGCCCACTCCCAAATTGGAAAGGTGGTGAGGGCTGGCCGGCCAGGTCATTTAAGTTCTTCTGGACAACACTATTAAATGGCTCCTGAAGCACTTGAATTATCACCACAGAACTCTGAGCAGAAGCAAGAATGATGTCTCACTCCTCCACCAGCCCGGTAAAATACATTCTTCCCAAACCGCTGGCTGGGCACCCGCCGAGTGCTGGCCCGTGCTCCCTACTCATCTTGTGTTGATCCACCCTCTTCCACCTGCTGTGCCCTCCTTGTCTTGGAGAAAGAAGAGGTCAGCTGGGGCAGAAACGCACGTGGAGCCTGACCGCGTCCCACTCTGGAGCCGAGCCGGTGGTGCTGCGGGGCAGGCAGTAAACAAACATCTCTGTCCAAGGACTCAAACACTGATGGTGTCTTCATGTCATAGACCTACCCTGAGAGCAGGCAAGGTGGCAGCAACGGGCTCTGTGATCTCCTGCCATCTCCTCTGCTGTCCCCCAGGCCACACCGTGACATAGCAGGGGTGGCTGGAGCGGAGCTCCTCCTGGCTTCCTTGAGACCCAGTCCCTGTGTGTGGAGCATGCATGCACCAACTCCAAAGGTCTGAGAAAGCTCATGGCAAGAAGTGAGAAAAGCAAACACAAATCTTACCAGGGAAACCGAGCAGACTCCCAGTGCTCTCTGTCCCAGGCCTGCTAGATACTGTGTGCTGCTGGGTGGAAATGGTTACAGGCAGTTAGATTTTGGAAGCCATCTTGGACCACTTGGCCAGGAACCAATATTAGGGATAGTGCCCTTAAAAATAAAGATTTGTTCCTGGCGTAGGTGCATCTGTAGTGATCTGGAATGCATCTGACAGCGATGGCCAAACTGCATTCCAGAACCCAACAAAAGTTGACAGAGACTGGACTGAGGCAGAGCTGGGACTAACCACCTCAAGTGACGCCGCTTTCTGGGCTGATGAAAGCTATGCACGTGGCTGGGTCATACTACGCTTTAACACACACAATTGTTCTGGTGTCAGTCAGATTTCCACCTGTTACTTCCTACAAACAAAAAAGAAAGAGAATGAGACAACCCAGGAGGATAACTAGAGTAAGAATTCTAGACTTGATTTTCAAGGCAGTTCCTTCCACATTCCAAATATACCTGTGCTTTGCTTAGGTATCCTGGACCCTCCTGGCACCGGATTTCTGTATAACTGATAGCACTTAGAAACCAGTGCTTTGACTAAGATAACAAAAATACTAAACTACCCAAAATGTGCTAGTATCTGATTTTAAACAGAGGTCATTCTGCATGTGTCTGACTTGCAAATTGATTCTTTCTTTTAAGACATAGCAAGTATTTTGTATTGTTTACCTTTCTGGAAGGCTCACCCCATGGTGCAGGGCCCTTAGATGCAGAGGCACTTCAGGCAGCGAGGCCTTCCAAGCGGGGAGCCTGACCGTACCCAACCTCTCCTCTGAAGATGAATTCAACCAAGACCTGGGCTGATGTGCATTTTTCTGTTGCTACATTCACATAAATGGTAAAAATGTAGCACACTCCTTAAAAGCCTGAAATAACTTATACATTGCCCAAATTTAATGTGATCACTTAGAGAAATGGGTTTCAGACACGTCATGGTTTAGAGTCTCATCAAATAAAGCCTTGAAAGGCTCCAGCTGTACATGATTGGCAGCCGCACACACTAGTATGATGCTGGTAACCCGTGGAGTTTGTAAGTGGGTGTCGGATGACCCAGACTCAGAGCCACTCATGAACTGGTTTCAACCAAATAAAAATGCCAGGTAGGCCGGGCGCGGTGGCTCACGCCTATAATCCTAGCTCTCTGGGAGGCCGAGGCAGGAGGATTGCTCGAGGTCAGGAGTTCAAGGCCAGCCTGAGTAGGAGCGAGACGCCCTCTCTACTAAAATAGAAAGAAATTAATTGGCCAACTAATATATAGAGAAAAAATTAGCCGGGCGTGGTGGCACATGCCTGTAGTCCCAGCTACTCAGGAGGCTGAGGCAGCAAGATCGCTTGAGCCCAGGAGTTTGAGGTTGCTGTGGGCTAGGCTGATGCCATGGCACTCACTCTAGCCTGGGCAACAAAGTAAGACTCTGTCTCAAAAAAAAAAAAAAAATCCCAGGTAATGCTTCATTAGCTGTTTCGTGTCGTG